GGCAGAAATGCCCGAGAGTCTGTCTGGGGCTCAGGGAGGCTCCGCGTGGGGGGTATAGCTAGGCCATTTGTAGTTGCTGACTTACTATGTGCTAGACACCCTGAGAGATGGAAAAATGGCCAGGCACGATTAGTGTTAGGAACTCTATTCAGAGTTAGGAACTCTATTCAAGATCTCGGCATTTATCTTCTGCCCTACGGCATTTCTTTTTTTTAAAGATTTTTTTTTTTTTATTTATTCATTTGAGACACAGAGATACAGAGAGAGAGAACGTGAGCAGGGGGAGGAGCAGAGGGAGGGGGAGAAGCAGGCTCTCCCCGCTGAGCAGGGACCCTGGGATCATGACCTGAGCCGAAGGCAGACGCTTAACCATCCGAGCCACCCAGGCGCCCCTGCCCTACAGAATTCATGAAAATACCTCTCAAGATCACTCACCAGTAGGGAAACGAGGCTGTGAAAGCAACCTTCACCTCTATGTCGGGCTCGCTGGTGAGCTAGACTGCAGAAAATTCCAGATCTCCCAGATCTTGGGAGCTGAGTGCTCATGTGTGCCTCCCACGGTTAACTGGCCTGCACACCCACCTCCCTCTCATACTCAGCTTCAGATGAACAGAGAGACAGCCCAGAGGGAGGGAGTGGGGGGAGGCAGGGGGATGGGGAGCATGTGGGAGGGCTGGGTGAGATCCTCCCCAGGTGTTCTTATGGGCTGGGAACAGATACACCAGCGATCAGGACGACATGCTGGGTGAGGGGTGTGCTCCTACTCCCTCATGAACCACAACCCGATGAGTGTCAGACCCTCCATCACCGGTGAGGATAAGTAAACCTGGGAAAAGGAGGGGGAGGGGGAAAACTACCAGATACAAACTCCTCTCCTTTAGAGGAGAGTTGAAAGGAAAATAATAAAGGGTGGTGTTCAGCCACGTGTAAGAAAGATCACCTGAGATGGAACTGGCCCATCAGTGAGCACAGGGACGCCGCTCCGAAGGAAAGACACATCAGCGCAGAGTGCCCCTCACTGACCAACAGGTGGCACAGTAAAGCAGATGCAGCTGGGTTGCTGTTCTGTAAGGTCTGGAGTGAAGGAAGAAAGTTGGGTCTCAAACCCAGCCTGTGTATATGCAGCGAAATATTATTCAGTCTTCAAAGGGAAGGGGATTCTGACATACGCTCCAACAACAATGACCTTGAAGACACTATTCTAAGTGAAATAAGCCAGACACCAAAGGACAAATACTATCTGTATCATTCCACTTATATAAGGAAACCACAGAAGGCAAATTTATAGAGGCAGAAGGTAGGATGGTGGTTGCCAGGGGCTGGGAGGTCGGGGGAATGAGGTGTTACTATTTTGTGGGGAGAGAATTTCAGTTTGGGAAGATGAAAGATATCTGGGGGTGGGGGTGGTGATAGTTGCACAATAATGTGAATGTACATAATACCACTGAGCTATAGCTAAGTTCACAGAAATGGCTAAGATGGAAAGTTTTATTTAAGGAATATTGCGCCACGGTTAAAAAAATAAAAAGCCAAACCCAAACAGAGTGTTCATACTGCTGTTTTATACCTGCCCAAAGTCCAGGGGGTGGATACACCTTCTAGAATAAGCAAGGAAGGAGGGAAAGCATGTTTCCCCAATCCCGCCTGGCCCAAACTCTGGGCCTTGCCTCCCCAAACCCTCAATCAGCTCTCTTTTGGTATCGTGCTCATTTATTTATTAAATGCCCACTAAGTGTCGGCCTTCAGCCAGGCACTGAGAATACATTCTCCAGTGGTCATGCTATTTCCCACCTGGCCCCGGCTTCCCCTTGTCTGCTCCAACCACCTTCCCCCAGCCAACCCTTCAGCCCATATATTTGCAGCTTCTCTCACCTGATTTCCATTGCAATGAAAAATACTTTGCACGGTACCTTTGGATCATATTATATTTTAAGAGAGGGTCAGATGGGGTAATGAGTGGAGTTTTCTAAAGAGAAAGCCCTTATTCCAGTGACTCCAGAGGCACATACAGCCGCCTATTAAGTTAGACTACAATATGCTACAGCAACAAACAACCCTCAGATGTCTGCGCTGTGACGCTGGGCTCATGTTTTGCTCACGTTGCACGTCCTGCACAGGTCAATGTTCGGTGTGGTCCAGCCACTGGGCTTAGGGAGGCTCCACCATCTTTGAGCTGCACCCCCTAGAACCGTGTCCCGGGTGGTTAGAGCAGGGGAAGAGAGAATGGAGAATCACAGATCTGCTTTGCATTGCCTCCGCTGAAAGGAAGGCACAGCACTTCCTCTCCTTTTCATTGGTCAGAGTTGGTCACGTGACCCGCGCGTACTTGCACCTGGACTGTTCCACGCACCTGGACTGTTCCATCGCCACGCTATCTCTGGGACAGCTCCTTTCCTCCGTGCGGTCTGACGTTGTGATGACTTGCTTGTGTGACTGTGTTGCCTCTCTGGGCTCTACTTTTCAGAAGGGTAGAGTCCTTACTTAACTTTGATGTAGCATTGGTGCCTAGCAGAGCGCCCGGCACGTGGTAGGGGTCCAGTGTTTGTGGAGTGAATGAATGATGGCAGAAAGTCAGGCGATCTAAAAGGAAGGTGGAGGTAGTCCCGGGAAGTGTCAGCGTGGGAGGAGCAACCCTATCTGAAAAATGAAGCGGGAGGGCGAATAATCCTATCAGCTTTAAAGGCTAATGCAAAGGTAGTGGAACATTCTATGTGTGACACAGCTCCTCGAGAGGGCACAAGGGGTCCAGCAGAGAGAAGACGATGGATATGTAGAAGGAAAACAGCACCCCCAGGGCACCAAGTAGCTTTGGGGAAAAATCCCGATCCTAGAGCAGTTTCATGAATACACTAGGAATGGAGGGAAGGGTTTGAGTTCTCCTAGTAAGTTTTTTGGAGCTCAGTAAGGGTAGGGTGCTTTCTTGGGTTACCATGGAAAGAGCCTGATTAGTCCAACTGGTTTTCCCTCAGAGAAAAATAAAAAAGGATTAACTCTACAGAACTGCTGCTTGTTGAGAAAACCATCCGTTTTATTGGCCTTGGTTGCAAAACAAGTGGGTTCGTCTAGATTTTAGAAATATCCAAGGACACTCTCATAAGTTGGGTGACTATCCAGGTTTGTATCTGTTGTTCCTGGTTAACTTTTTAATAGCATATTTCATAATTCACTCTCAAAACAGTTTCAGTTTGGATGATAAATTGCAAGGTCATCTTAGTTATAAGTAACGTTAACTGGCTGGCTGAAAAAAAAAAAAAAGGTGACGGTGGGTCCTAGGAAGGGACAAGAGGAACAAACATTTCCGTTGGCGGACACACCCAAGCTGGTGCTGGGCTGGGCACCTGGAGGGCCTGTTTCAGGACTAGGAGGTGCCCCCCTCCCGCCCCCCGCTGGGAGGAAGCCCAGGTGCCTCAACCACTTCCTGAAGAGCAAGGTCTGGGTAAAACGAAAAAGAGATTGGGAGGAGGTTCCTCGCCCGGCCATTTACTCTCCTCCCGCCCTTAGGAAGGCGCTGGAGGCATCAGCGGATCAGTTCCTTCCGTGTAAAACGGGACAACAACGTTCACCTCCAAAGGCTGTTCCTCTTCGTTAACAGTGGCCACTATTTATTCCATCGCCGAGCGGAAGACACAGAAGTTACGAGAGAGCAAAGCCTGCGGATGGAGGCTCCTAATTCCACCAGCTACTATTTATGCGCCAAGTAATACTTAAAACAGTCAGGGCACACGGTCTGATTTTGAGAGCAGAAGACGGGACACTTGGGGGGAGGACTCGCACAAGGTCACACAACTCCTAGACGGCTGGAGAAAGGCTGACCCCGGGAAGTCTGGTTCAAAGCCCGCGCTCCAGCCACACAAGGGGTCCCCCGAGCCGGCTCTTCCGACTCCACAGCAAGTGCTCTCAGCGCCCCGCACAGCCCTGCAGAACTCCCCCGCCCCCGGAGGAGGGCCACGCACAACAAAGGGCAGGGCGAGGGCTGGCAAAACCCGCCCGGGTCCCGCAAAGCGCGCAGACCGGACCCCGGCAGGCGGCCAGGGGATGGTGTGCAGCGTCCTCCTCCCTTCGGTGCAGAAACAGTCCCCTTCGAGACTCGCTCGCTGGGCGGGGAGGAAGCGTGGAGCTCCGGGTCCGGCTCCGGGTTTCCGCGAGACCGCCGGAGGCTGCGCCCCACGTCCCCCGCCCGGGGCCGTGCGCCGAGGAGGGGCTCTCCCCCCCCCCCCGCCCCCCCCCCCCCCCCCCCGCGGAACCCCCGGCCCGGCGCCCGCGGCGTCCGCGTTGGGCGGCGGCGTCCTCCCGCAGCCACCCAGCTTCCCGGGGGAGGAGCAGCGCATCGCGCAAGCATCCGGGAGCGGCGGAGGGGGCGGGAGGAAGGGCGAGAGGAGGAAGCGGGATTTAAACGAAAGGCGGTGACGCCACACAAAAGATTTCTATAGGCTCCAGGGAGGTGACGGCCGGGCGGCGGCGGCGAGCCCGGGGGCGAGGCGCGGACGCGGGGAGGAGAAGGCTCGGGCGGCCCCGGCGGGCGGCGGCGCACCCACGGCCCGCGCCGAGGAGAAGCCGCGCGGGGAGAGGAAGCGGGCGTCTTCCCCTCTGCCTCTCGGCCCCCGCCCTTCCTTTCAGTTTCTCCCGGCTCGCTCGGAAGTTGGAGGTTGACGAAAATGGCAGGAGCCGGGGCCCGGGCGGGTGGCCGCAGCGCCGCGGGGACCTTCTGAGTTGGCGTGGCCGCCGGGGAAACGCGCGCCGGGCGTCCGATGCGCAGGGCCCGGGGTCTCGGGAGAGCTCAGCCGCTGCGGGCCCCAGGCGACCAGGCGACCGGGATGGACTCGCGTCCACAGCTAGCGGCCGGCCGCAGGGCGCGCGGTCGGGGAGGGCGTGCCGCCTCGGCGCCGGGCCGCGCGTTGTGAGCCGGCGAGGCGGGAAGGGGCGGCCGCGGCGACCGGCGCGCCCGGGCGTGGCGGGCGGGCGAGCGCGCGAGCGGGGCGGCCGCTGTGCGCAATCAGTGCAGGCTCCCGCCCGACTCTGACTCGGCGCGGCCGCGCCAGCACCGGCCACACCCTCGGCTCTGCCGCCGCCGGCGCCGCTTTCCCGAGAGCGGGAGGCAGGAGATGCGCGCCGGGCGGCCGCGCGCTCCACAGCGCCAGCCGGGGCCGCCGTCGCGGGGAAGTGCCGCCCGGCGGGGTCAGGGCGCCTGAAAGCCCACGTGCGCCGCCGAGCCCGAGGTGGCTGACAGCAGAACCCGCCCGAGCCGCCGCCCGCGCTCCTCCCCGAGGAAGGGATTTTGATTTCAAAGAAAGGAAGGAAGGAAGGACAACTCCCAGCTTCCCCCTCCCGCCCTCCCGCTCCGGCGGCCGGGCCGGGCCATGCCCAGGAAGGCGGCGGCGGCGACGGCGGCCCAGCAGAAGGGACTTTCCTGGCAGCCCGGCGGCGAGGAACGCGCTCCGTGAGTTTGCTCTGCCCGGTTCATGGTTCCTGCACGCCCTCCAGGAGGCCGAACGCTGCAGCCCCTCCCCGCGCCCCCAAGAGCCTCCTGCGTCCTCTGGCCCCCGGGCCCGCTCTGCGCCGCCCGGGCTCCGGCCGCCGCAGCCCAGTGCCCTCTGCCCGGCGCGGTGGATGGCATGATGGTGCGGGGAAGGCACCGCGGCCCTGGCCAGCTGAGTCGCGACGGCCGCGGGGGCGGCGGCAGTGGCAGCGGCGGCGGTAGCGGGCTCCCCAGCGTTATGCCAGTGCCCCCCGGGCGCGATGGCTAGCGGCAGCGCTGGGAAGCCCACTGGCGAGGCGGCTTCTCCGGCTCCTGCGAGCGCCGTCGGGGGGGCCTGCTCGCAGCCGCGGAAGAGGCTGGTGTCCGTCTGCGACCACTGCAAAGGCAAAATGCAGCTGGTGGCCGACCTGCTGCTGCTGTCGAGCGAGGCACGGCCCGTGCTCTTCGAGGGCCCCGCCTCCTCCTGTGCTGGCGCCGAGTCCTTCGAGCAGTGCCGGGACACGATCATCGCGCGCACCAAGGGGCTCTCCATCCTCACCCACGACGTGCAGAGCCAGCTCAACATGGGCCGCTTCGGGGAGGCGGGGGACAGCCTGGTGGAGCTGGGCGACCTGGTAGTGTCGCTGACCGAGTGCTCCGCCCACGCGGCCTACCTGGCGGCCGTGGCCACGCCGGGCGCGCAGCCCGCGCAGCCGGGCCTGGTGGACCGCTACCGAGTGACGCGCTGCCGCCACGAAGTGGAGCAGGGCTGCGCCGTGCTGCGCGCCACCCCGCTGGCCGACATGACGCCGCAGCTGCTGCTGGAGGTGTCGCAGGGCCTGTCGCGCAACCTCAAGTTCCTGACGGACGCGTGCGCCCTGGCCAGCGACAAGTCCCGGGACCGCTTCTCCCGCGAGCAGTTCAAGCTGGGCGTCAAGTGCATGAGCACGAGCGCGTCGGCGCTGCTGGCCTGCGTGCGCGAGGTGAAGGTGGCGCCCAGCGAGCTGGCCCGCAGCCGCTGCGCGCTCTTCAGCGGGCCGCTGGTGCAGGCCGTGAGCGCCCTGGTGGGCTTCGCCACCGAGCCGCAGTTCCTGGGTCGCGCGGCGGCCGTGAGCGCCGAGGGCAAGGCGGTGCAGACCGCCATCCTGGGTGGCGCCATGAGCGTGGTGTCGGCCTGCGTGCTCCTGACCCAGTGCCTCAGGGATCTGGCGCAGCACCCCGACGGGGGCGCCAAGATGTCGGACCACAGGGAGAGGCTGAGGAACTCGGCCTGCGCCGTGTCTGAAGGCTGCACCCTGCTATCTCAGGCTTTACGGGAGAGGTCTTCGCCCAGGACTTTACCGCCAGTGAATTCCAATTCTGTGAATTAGCACCCCGCCCCCCTTCTTTCTTCCACCCCAAACTAGAGGAAGATACTTACTCTCCGACCCTCTCCATTTATACCAAAGAAATCCCAGGGGAAGCTCCCCCCACCCCACCCCATGTCAGACGCTCCAGAGGAACCTTCCAGAGAGCGGGGCCATGCGCTCCAACGACACTGGTGCGCACGGTGCGGGGTGGGGGTGGGGGGGGCAATGCCAATCTACGCACACCCAGCAGGGACCTGGAGGTGGCGCGCCCCCACCGCGCCCCAGCACCTCTTCTGGAGTTCCTCCACTAAATTTTCTTATCAATTGGGCAGGAAGGAGGTCATGGGTTCGTTTCTTTTTTGGTCTTTTTGTTTTTTCCTAATTAAAAGAAAGGTTACCTCAGTTTCACTCCTTAGACATGGATGTAGCTACCTTTTTTGTATGTTGTTATTTTTTTAAGCAATCGTGTTGGATTAGGCGTATACTTGGTGTGGAAAGAGTATGACTTTGCCATGTGATTTGCAAATGGGGGGAAAAGCTACTGTGAGTGTGTGTTTTATTTTTTAATTTACACTATAGAGTGGTTCCCCCCTGCCCTCCCCCCCCATGTCAAGTTTTTACCTTGCATGTACTGGAGTATTTATTTCATCTATTAAAATGTTATGTTTCTCAGATGGCCTTTTGCAATTATTGTTGATTTTCAATAATTGTAATAACGTTGCATGCCTGCATGTCGTCTCTGGAAGGGCACCCTGGAAAGGGTAGCAGTTTCTCCCCGCCTTAGCCCTGTCTCCCTTTTTCCTTGAGGGTGACCTCTTTGAGCAGCCTAGAATTCGAGAACACTGTCCTCGCAGAGCCGGGTGCCCGGGGAATGATCGCAGTATGCATGGTGCCGGCGCTGGGCTGGGACATGGGGGTTTTGTCTTGCCTCTGGTTTTTCCTGCAAAGTACTTCAGCCCCCTCTGTGTCCGCACCTCTGTCTGTCCTGATGGACAGTGGTTCAGGCTGACCGGGGTCTGATTTGTATTCTGCCTATCTCAGATTCAGGCTCTTCCTAATCCTGCGTGGTACCCCACCCTTCCCGGGTCAGAGGATCTGTTTACTGGAGCTGAAAAGTGCACTATAGCAAGGACTTTTAGGAGACTGTGGCCTCTTTTTTATGTGGGCGGGTCTGTTCACACAAGACCCAGTCACTCCTGATTGTAGGACAATCGCAGGGTCCTAGACTGTTTAACAGAGGGAGAGGTATTCTGGAAAGTGTTAACTTTTAGAGCCATAACATAGCTGCTGGCAAAGGGCTGATTTTTGTGACCTTGATCTAAGATCTGCCCTGGTTGATCTTGTGTTGGAAGAAGGCTTCATTAACTGAAGTTTGGAGTTATTTTAAGGGAGTTTGTCCTCTCTGCAGACATTTTAAGGAAAACAATTGGGGAGGGAGGGGTGTATAGTTTTGCTGAACCTTGTTAAGTTTTGGACGTTTTCCCACTGAAAGTATAACATTCTCAGTGCTTGCCCTGGGAAGTCCACATGCGTAAAAACTCCTACATGCTTTAAATTTGCTCAGTTTACATTTTTCTTCAGATTTGTTGTGCCTAAACCTTTGTAGTTCCCAAGGATCTGAGAAGAAAGCATTTTTCACTGTAATATGTTAGAAAGTCCTATTGACTGTTTTACTTGAATAGCTGTATTTATTACAAGAACATCATATTCAACGTGTAAAGCATCTTTAAACCTGTGTTGGGTAAGAGTAGGATCTGGGAGCTGCTCTGAATTTGATGTTTGGGAAAGTCTTAAAGTGGTATTGTACCTACATTTCTTAGAAACAGTCAAGGGAGCTGTTGTTTCTCTCTTAGGCCGGGTAGGTTTAAACTTTTAAAGTCTTTAAAAAATGACAGTGACCTTGAGAATGTTTCTTCCTCTATCCCCTGCCCTTTAGTCTGGGTGGGTCAGGTTTGGGAACTATCTGTGGGGAGGAAACTGAACCCACGTGCCAATGACAATCCTGCTTGCATATAGGACTTTTACTTATTTATTGGATATACATAAGTAATTATAGAGTTTCTAATTATGTGGTTCATTTAGCCTATGCAGATCACAAAGAGTAAACTGAAAGGAACAAAGTAAAACAAAATGAGGGCCAGAAATCTGTAAATTTGGTGTTTGATTAAGACAAAAATGATTGCCAATTGTTCCTTGGACTCATTCCTTTTGCAGAAGCAATTTTCAGGACAGTGCATGCCAAAAAAAAAAAAAAAAAAAAATCGCTTTCCCTGTCTACTTGGATGAAGTTAACTAGCTTGCCACCAAATTAATTTTGAAACTTCTTTTGTCTTAGCCAACTGGTTGTGGCTCTTTACATTTCTGTATATTAAAGATGTTGACTTGTAATATTCAAAATCTCTGTCCTCTGAAGTTGTTAAAAGTTTCGGTGGTGTTTTAACGTCCCCCCCCCCCCC